CAGCTCACCCCAGCTCAGCTCGGCGCCCCCCAGCTCAGCTCACCCCAGCTCAGCTCAGCTTACCCCAGTTCAGCTCAGCTCACCCCAGCTCAGCTCAGCTCAGCTCAGCTCACCCCAGCTCAGCTCACCTCACCCCAGCTCAGCTTGGCTCACCCCCAGATCAGATCAGATCACCTCACCCCAGCTCAGCTCGGCTCACCCCAGTTCAGCTCACCCCAGTTCACCCCAGCTCAGCTCACCCCAGCTCAGCTCGGCTCACCCCAGCTCAGCTAAGTCACACTTAGTGCAGTTTGACTCATCTCAGTTAAGCTAGCTCGGCTCATCTGAACTCAGCGCAGTCTACCTCACTCCAGCTCATCCAGTCCAGCTTTGCTTGCTTGCCCCAGAATGATCACCTTAGCTTGGTACATCTTAGAAGAGGTCAGAGAAGCTGAGCCTTTTCCAGTTCAGGTCATCTGTCTCAGCCCAGCTTTGTTTGCTAGAGCCTTGCTTACCAGGCTCTCAACCTTGTTCATGGAATTCTGCTCAGTCAGCTTTGTTAGTTCAGCCTTCTCTGTACAGCTCTTTACTGTAGCTGGGATCCTGGAGACCAGGAGATTTAGCCCAGCCAACCTGTCGGTCTCAGCTGTGTCATCTCGTTCTCATTTCTGTCCAGCCTTCATTCTGAGTATCCACACTCTGATCCCTGTCCTTTCACACTGACCTTAGCTTCAAAGCACTGTCCTTCGATACTGTTCTTTAACAACCATGAAGTATGTTTACTGGCAACTTCAAATTCATTAGACCATCTTGAGATGTAGATCAAGAAGGTAGTAATGTTTTCTATAAAAACTAAAAACATCCTTTGCTGCAGAATCCCAACATTAGCCTGGGTCTTTCTTACTGGGTCTCAATTAGCTTCCACTTTAAGTTCCTTCTAGATTAAAACCATCATTAACAACCACCTGGGCATCCGTTTTATCTATTGCTTAAGACAAGGCAGTATTGATCCAAAATTCAAAGTCACACGTGTAACTGAGGCAGAGACAGCACTAGTAACCCAAGTAACACACTTAACTGAAATAATTCCAGACGATCGTATAAACTTTCTCTAAGATTTCCTTAAAATACCAGAGCCCCATAATCTATAACCTTTTTCTTTTACAGGTTTTTAAAAGAAAAGTTAAATGTAAGTGACCCAGACAATAGCACTCAAAAGACACACAAATGTTTCTTTCTCCTCCTAAAGCAGTGACTGAAGACTAAGTCCCTTTCAAGCAGAAACAATCATCAAACACAAGCTTTAAGAGCAGCAGCCACAATGGTGGCTGCCTCTGGCTTACCGTTTAGGATGCCTGGTCTCGGGGAGGTCCAGGGTCTTTGAGTGGAATTGGTACTTCAAGGCCATTGAGACTGGCTGGTCCATAGGCAGCCAGGTGAATGAGTGGCAGAAGCCACAAAAACTGTACATTCCCAGGTCTGGGTAGTCCCGGGAGACCCAAGGTCCAGGTCTGCCCAGCAGAAACCCAGTCTCAGACCTTTGGCCAGTTCTTCAACAAGAAGCCAGGTCAGAAGGAGTTCAAAGAGAACATGTCTGTTGTGGATTGACTTAGATGCCTTCTTTCTTTTGCACTATCTGACCGAGTGTCCTCTCGGGCACCAACTGCATTCATTTTTAAATGCTTTCTCTTAAAATGAATACTTAGGAAGAGGTCTTGAAAAAGATTTAGGGAGTACCAGAAAGTCAAAGTCTTTCTTAATCATAAAGGCAAAACCATCTAGCTTTAAAAAATCATGAACAAAGCCACTGTAAGTGCTTTGGGTATTGGAAATTGAATTGAGTTAAGATCAACGATAATGATAATATGAAGAATAATTAAGTAATTTCAAAAAGTTTTCTAAATACATTAGAAATTAAATGCATGAAAGCCCTTCAGTAACTTCGAAAATGAATACACCTTAGAAGTTGATAAATTTAAGTTTGTGAAAACTAGAACTTCACAAGGTAAAACTGAAAGATTACTAAGTTAGAAGAAAGAGGGCCTTTCCAGTTTCGGCTGAATTCCCAACTTATTTTAGAAATGCAAATTATCCAGGTGTTGTTTTGCTCAGTCTGACTTTCAGTTCTGCCTGGCTGGGCAAAACATTTCAAAACTTCTTCAAACCGCAGCTAGAAATTTACCTAGTGGCTTTGTTTTTCCTTCCCAAAATAGCCTTGCCACATGATCTGCTTCCTGTGAGCTGCAGCAGGTGTCCTGGACCCGTCAGCCATCTTGACTGCAACTCAACTTTGCTCAATTCATTTAAAAATATTTTAAACTTAATTTATTATTATTAAAAATCAGTTCTGAATAGGATATGAAAGACCCTCACCCCCTCCTCTGCTGAACTTCCAGCACTGCCAATCACAGACAAACATTATTTCAAATTGAGTGACTAGAATTTTTGATACTTGGACATTTAAAAAAATGAATACTTGAAAAATCTCCCACATTATAAAGTCATAGTATTCTAGCTATTTTTCTCAGGAACCACTTTAAGGATAAAAATGATACCCTCTAATATTCCATAGGCACACTTCTGTGTTTCTTTGGAACGTTGGACTTCTGTAGGCTCCCCGGCTACCTTCCTGAGATGAGCCCACTGTGAATCTCTAAGACCAAGGCTAGCTGCCATCCTTGCTTGATTTACTCACTCAGACAGTTCTTTTTCCAACAAAGAAAGTTTTAAACAGTCAACTGCAGAACATGCCTCACAAGCCTAAGGAAAGTGCTCGGCTCCTCTCCCTGCACTGAGCAGCCTGCGCTGCGCAAATGTTCACACAGACACCGTCCCGAAGCGCATTTCTCAGCCAACCCTGTGATTCCAAAAACTGAATGCCTTCTACCACATCTCAAACTATCTCTCTAGTCATGGAGCATTTCAGCATCTCACACAAATGAGGCTCTCAAGTCCCCTACCCCATCATTCAGTGTCTCCATCAGACAGGTCCTTCCCTAATAGTCTTTCAAAGGTTTAGAAATATTCAAAAGGCTCTGTAATCCCTAGGCAGTGAGTCCCCAGCTTCATTCCGCCAGCCAGCCACCCACGTTCCCTCAGGGATAAATCTCCAGGACTAGTCTGCAATGCTCAGAAAACTTCATAGGCAAAGGTTAAAAATGAAGGCCCAGAGGGCCATTCTTACCTGAGGAGACGGTGACTTGGGTCCCTTGACCCCAGTAGTCCATAGCATAGTAATCACAACGGTGAGATTTCCATCCATACCACACAAAAACCCCCCGAGCCTGACTAGAGTGGCCCCCGGGCTACTCAGGCACTATGTCGACTCCCAGTGCCCCACAAAAATCAATCATTCAAGTCATTGTCCCCTACTCCAATCCTTGTCTGGGCAAACGTCCCTGGACCTCTCTTTAGTTTTCAAAGTGACCGATGTTCCAGCCTCACCTCTGCAAAACCAAATAACCACTAGTTCTGGACTTGGCACCAGAAGCTGGTAGCCTCTAATTCACACCAGTGTCTGATAAATCCTAGATGGAAGCCTGCCCAGACTGCAAGTTCTGGCAGACCCTTCCTCACGCTTCAGACCAGTGGGGAGAGAGCCCTGACCCAGACCTGTCTGTCTCAATTTGGGGGCAAAGGGATTAAATCTCAGCACCCATTTATAGGGAGTCTTGGTCCGGATAGCTCAGAGTCCCCCTAAGTACATTTAGAATGGGAAAAGGTAGGACTCACCTGAAGAGACAGTGACCAGAGTCCCTTGGCCCCAGTAAGCAAACCAGTTGTCACATTGTGACAAACATGATAAGATCCCAGACAATAAACGGCTCTTGACAACAGCCCCAATATCATCTCAGACGGAGCCCAGTGAGGGACAAGAATAGTGGGGACAAAGGGACTCTAGCGGCAAGAGTGGCTGGGATCCCCATAGACCCCTGGCTGTAAAGTCTGGGAGCTGAAGGTGATTGCCTGTGTCAGCCAGGGCCCATGAAGACCCTTCCTGACTCCCAGGTTGTCCCTAGTTTTCATGACCTGAAACTCAGATATACTCATTTCCCTCCACAAATGCAGCAAAATCTGTCTGAGTTGAGTAGAAAAGAGGGGCTGGAAGGACTCACCTGAGGAGACGGTGACCATGGTTCCTTGGCCCCAGTAATCAAAGTAGTCACACTGTCACAAGCCCCTCTAGTGGGTGTACACAAACCTCTATCCTTCCTCCCAAGCCACATTTCCTATGGCTGCCACTGTCCCACAGGTTGAGGCCTCCGATTGCCTCTTATGCTGGGAGCAAAGACTCCAGCCTTACAGAAAGACATCTGCAGGATGCTGAGTCTGCAGATGGCTCAACTTGGGGAAATCTGTGAATATCTTCCCCAGATTCAGAATGCAGGATGCAGAAAGAAAGCCAGCTTACCCGAGGAGACGGTGACTAGGGTCGCCTGACCCCAGACAGCAAAAACGTTGCACAGGGACATGATCCCTACCGTTGCCCAAACAAAAAGCTGACCCCCAATCTGGACTAACATAGATCATCTAGAGACCCCAGAGAACTTGGCTGGTTGCCACTCAGAGAAGGTGGGAGTGAACAGAGAGCTTACCTGAGGAGACGGTGACCAGGGTCCCCTGACCCCAGATATCGAAGTACCAGTAAGTAACACAGCCTGTGCTCTGCCTCTGCTCCTGTACTAAAACCTTCTCCACAGCCTGACTTGGAATCCCAGTCCCCAGATGAGTTACTTACCTGAGGAGACGGTGACCAGGGTCCCCTGACCCCAGACATCTAAGTTCCAGCTACACAGCCTGTGCTTTGCCTCTGCTCCTAAACTAAAACCTTCGCCACAGCCTGACTTGGAATCCCAGTCCCCAGATGAGTTACTTACCTGAGGAGACGGTGACCAGGGTCCCCTGACCCCAGACATCGAAGTAAGCATAGACACAGTGAGGTAACCCTACATCTAGGGCCATAAAAAAAACCCAGCCCAAAGTCTCTTGGAGTCCTCAGGGGGCTCCAAACCCCAGAAACTTAGCTGTTTGGAGAGACCTCCACTTTAGCTCAGCTGAATGGGGCATGCTTGTAGGACAGTATCTCTTAGGCTAGAGTGAGCTAGCATAGTGAGACTCTTTAAAGAGAGAAGAAAACAGGAGGAGGAGCAAAGAAAGGAGAGAGGAAGCCACGCCTTCCCTGTACTCTTAGCAAACCTCACCTGCCTACCGCTGGCCTGGGATCCTCTCCCAAGTCCTTGGCAGTGCAGTGCTGCAGCCTTCAGCTGCCTGTGTTTTCTCATGCTTTCCTGCCCTAGGAGTCCACAGTAGCTCTCTTTCCCTCCACACTGTCTCCTGCCCTCCAGAACTTTACCCTCCCTCTCAGACTCACTCTTTTCTCCCTCAGCTTTCTCAAGCTCCCAGGCTGCCCCTAGGAAACTCCAAACAGAAGGTTTTTGTTGAACCATGAGTCACTGTGGTCCCAGTTAGCACTGTGGTTCTCTGCTCAGCCAAAACCTTGTACCGGCCACAGACCACAGGGACCTTGACTCTCAAACCTCACACTAGCCACAGAGTATGGAGATCCCAACCCCCAAACTGCCAGTCATCTCTCCTGTAAGAGGGGGGCAATGATTTTTCTAAAACAATTATTAAAGTTCAGGAGCAGATGTGAGCTGGGACCACCCCTATTTGTCACTCACCTGTATTTGAGTTGTTTATCAGCCATGGAGAAAGGTCTGTGATGGTGGAGGGGGGCACTGCCCCTCCCTGGGCAGCCCTAGAGGTACTTTATCCATGACTGGATACCTCTGAGGTGCACTTGGGTGCCTGTCAGGCACTCAGGCTGTCCTTTGCTTTCTGATCCGATTTGTACAACAGGAAAGTGACCTAAATTAAAGTCTAATGTGCCATGGCAATGGTCCTAAAGGAGCAGCACTGTTGGTGCTGTGTCACCCATGCCCAGCGAGGATGTGTCCCCTCTTGGTCTTCACCAGAGCTTCTGGTTCTCAACAAGAGGTCTTAGCTGTTCTGGGTGGTATGGGGGAGCAGTTCAGTGCTCTAAGATAAAGTTTTTTGCCAGTGGTACTCTCCTGACCCGGCAGGGATGGGTGGTGTAGATCCTAAGGTAAGGAAGAGTCTTTATTTTACATATATGAGTTTGTTCAGAGCTAGGCCCTACAGGTTAGCAGTGGGTGCCTAGGGAGTATGGAGGTTTGTAGCTCCAAGCTAAGCATAAGACTCTGGTAAGTAAGAACCTCAGGGACATAGATGGTACGGGATGATCAGGAGGGGAGGTGACTGTGGCCTGGGGACCCGGGACACAGGTGGGGTGGGTGAATAGGAAAGGTGGTGTCTGACTTGGTGACCTGGTGACATGGGAAGGAGGGGTGAGCTGGATGGGGAGTGGGCCATAGCCTAGGGTTTCCTGCTCAAGAATGAGAGCCAGTAGAGGGCTAGCCTTTCTTGCTCTCTTGACTAGAGTCCTGCTGTGTGGAGGAGTTCTAGGTCTTGGATCCTCAAGCCCCATCACTTTCCAGAATCTCTTTTCTCTCAGGTCTCTCTAGGTGGTCTCTTAAAAGGAGAGGTGTAGGGCTGCCCCAGGTCCTCCAGAGAACACCTGCTCCTGCTGTAGTTCCTCAGTTTCTGATAAGGGAGTGGAAGATTTAAGGACTTCCCAGTCTACAGTTTGAGCAGTCATAGGCTTTCCTTACTACTCACTGCAGAGTTCTAGCTAAACAATAGGCACTATTGCGTGCTTGGGTCTTAGTCACCTCCTGTGGCACAATATGCCTTGTAGGCTGCAGTGTGACAAGATATGACATACCAGGAGGAAGCTCTGGACCTTCCTGTCACCTCTCAGCTGTGCAGAGCTACTGTGGATCACTACCACATAATAAATCCACCTATCTACACTTCTGCTTTCTGTGTGTCTCTTCCACAGTATCCATGGTCTAGGTCTGAAGATTTCTGCTCTACGTACTATGGACATGTGCCAGGAAAAATACATAGTTGTTCTTGTTTGCTTCTCTGTTACTATGATAAATATCACAACCAAAAGCAACTTGGGGAAGAAAGGGTTTATTTCATCTTATACCTTAAAATCTATCACTTAGGGAAGTCAGGACAGAATCATAGGCAGAGATGAAGCAAAAATCATGGAGGAATGCTGCTTATTTGCCTTGCTGCCTCTGGCTCGCTCAGCTATATTTCTTATATGGTTCAGGCCCAGCTGCCTAAGGATGGTACCACCCACAGTGAGCCTGGCCTTCCTACATTAGTTACCAGTCAAGAAAAGGCCCACAGACATTCCCATAGATCAATGTGATGCAGGAAATTCCTTACTAGAGGTTTTTATCCTTCCAAGTGTGTCAAGTTGATAACCAGGATTAGTCATTATAGTGTTGTAGACATGTGCCCTAGAAATAGCCAGGTAAGGAAACTGGATCTGTACAATGTGATGGCCAGAGCTGGGCCTACTTGCTAGGGTTGAGTTGGTCTCCCAGCCTCTGCCTCATGGCTGGAGTCTTCTGGGACCCTATTCCAGGTACCCTATCTTGCCTAATCGTATCCTTTCAGATTCTGTTCTGACAGGTTTCACCCTGTCCTACCTTGCTTATTCAACTCCACACTTTAACACATTCTGTCCCAAGTACCTAGTTCTTGGCTTGAGTACTCTGAATGGGACTTGCAGCTCTGCTGAGGACTAGACATTCAGGTAGGTGGAAAAGTCACTCTGTACATTCATCTTATGTATGAGTCAGAGAAGGTTCAATGTAGAGCTGCTGAGAGCAGTTGGTAAGCTGTGGGTGCCCCTATGGGATGTGGAGATATGGGTTTGAAAGATGGTTAGACAACTCTGAGATTCCATCTTACATCTGTAAAAATGGCCAAGATCAAAAACATTGATGACAGTTTGTGCTAGAGAGAATGTGGGGTAAAGGGAACACTTCTGCATTGCTGGTGTATATGCAACCTGGCACAGCCCCTTTGGATATCAGTATGGTGATTTCTCAGAAAAGTAGGAAACAACCTACCTCAAGACCCATCAATACCACTTTTTGGTATATATCCAAAGGATGCTCAATCATACCATAAGTCCATGTGTTCAGCTATGTTCACAGCAGCATTATTTGTCATAGCCAGAACCTGGAAACAACCTAAATGCCCCTTGACCAAAGAATGGATAAGGAAAATGTGGTACTTTTACACAATGGAGTACTACATGGCAGAAAAAGAAAACAATGATATCTTAAAATTTGCTGGCAAATGGATGGATCTAGAAAACATCATATCAAGTAAGGTAACCCAGATCCAGAAAGAAAACTATCACATGCACTCACTCATAAGTGGCTTTTAGACATAAAGCAAAGAAAAACCAGCCTATAATTCACAATCCTAGAGAGCCTAGCACAAAGCCCTGGTAACCTGTGGTTTACAGCCTGGAAGTTGCTCTCTATGAAGGCTTTGGACCTGCCCATGGTCAATGGTCAATAGTCACCCACCCGAATCCAATCACCATCCAGATTACTCTTTGATCTTATGTGGATATCCCATCCACTGAGAAAGGTGGAAGGGGATGTTTGAACCTGCATGATTCTGGCTGCACTCAGTGCTAGGTCCTGTATGGCCTTCTGGTGCCTTGGATTCTTCAGTTTTTTTTTTTTTTTTTTTTTTTTTTTTTTTTTTAACAGATGCAGATATCCTTAGTCCCGGAGGCAGCCACTGACAATGAAATCAACAGTTGAACAGTCTGAGAGCAGCAGTGCAGGAAGAAGAGAAGTGGAAGCAGAGAAGGCAGAGCTGATAAAATTCTGTAGACCATTGGTTTACACAAGAGTTCATTGTCTTCAAGGTCAAGGAGCTCTAATCCCCGACTGAGAGTTATAACACTGGCTATAGATGAGTCCTCATACTTGAATCCTGCATGAAGACTGCAGCTTTCCAGAGTGGTACATGCTGCTGTTGCTTCTGTCTGTTTGCTGTTGTGTACTAACAGATGAAGAGTGAAAAGGAAGCTACCAGAGATCAATACTTGAAAAGTTTTTGGTCAACCTATGATTTCTATCTAGGTGGAACAGAATAATCTTCAGTCAATATTATGTATTATACACAGCAATAAAATATGTCTTACATGTCAAATATACAAGCAAATTCATAAATATAATTGCATATTCATGTAAAACTTATCCAGTGAAGTTAGATTCAAGGAAGAAATCCTTAAGTTTGTACATGTGAAAAATGTATTTGAATACTAGTGTTATTGAGCACATAATTATTAGATCATGTCTTCTTTTTTATAAGGATGCATAAGCATTTACACAGTGTGTGTCTTAGGTTCTTATTGCTGTGATAAAACACTATGACCAAAGGCAACATGATGAGAAAAGGGTTTATTTTATCTTACAGCTCTCAGGTGACACTCCATCACTGAGGGAAGACGAAGCATGAACCCGGAGGCAAAAACTGAAGCAGAAGGCACATAGGAATGCTGTTTCTTGCCTTGCCTTGCTCCTCATGATCTCCTTATACTGCATTTGATGACAACCAGAACTACCCAGGGGTGGTATAACTCAGCTGCTCTCCTACATCAATCATTAACTAAGACAATACTCCCACAGACCTGTCAATGGGCCAATCTCAGTGAGGCATTTTCTCAATTGTGGTTCCCTCTTCTCAGATAATTTCAACTTGTGTCAAGTTGACATGAAAATATGCAGTATACTAGGCTAGGTTAATATCCTCGAGACTGCTGTTATTTAGGGTCTTAGTTTGCTCATTTTGAAGTTTGATAACATTAATGAAACATGCTCATTACTGATTTGTAGAGACATTTCATTTACTTTTTAATAAATAAAACTTACCTGATGATCAGAGAGTAAAACAGCCCCACTGTGAGCCTTACAGATCATGCACTGGTAACACACACCTTTAATTC